CGTTTACAGCATAAGCAATGAATGCTCCGCATGCGATAGCTGTTGAGTAGGCGAATCGAGCTAGGACCATAAGCCAGCCACGGACACCGAAGACTGAGAATAGCACTCTGGAAGTAGTTATTTTATTATGAAAATCGATATATCGATTAAAGCGAATGTAAATGTAATTTGCTCAACTCACTGATAGACAAAAGAGTGGAAGACGCAAGCAGTGAGAAGTATAAACACCAAGTGCCTGCTGGCTGCTCTGGTTGCCATCCATGTCAAAGCCGCCATGGCTACGAACAGTACAAGATCGAAAGAAGAATCCAAAGCCATCTGGATCCAGCGCCACGAGAAGGCAGATGCCCTAAATTGTGTCAACTAACGTGAGAAAGGAAAAAATATCAAATTTCAACTCCAGCAGAAAAAATAGTGCTAAAATGACGCGAATTCACCTGGCTCCAACCCAAAAAAGTATGAAGCTGCTTGCTACCGAATGTGCTGCACCCCATCCAAGGCCGCCTGCTAGGAATCGAACCTGAAAACGGGGACGGCACAATTAAATCAGAAGGGAAATGAACCAGATGATGACTAAAGGACATCCAGAAATAAACTCAATAAAATAAAAGGGTATGACTGAAAGAGTTCTACAAAAAAACCTGAAGATGGTTCTATGCAATAAAATTCAGACAAACCTCTCCTTTGCCATTCAACAGATGCGTCATCACTATATGCATGCCAATCACATCAACGACATCAGCACTACTTTTCAGCAATTCCTTGAAATATGTAAAAATAAGGAAAAGGGCAACGGAAATAGGAATGGGAACAAACCGGCAACAAGCTAAATCCTTCAGCATCTGCAGCTGGAAAGAATGTCGCTAATAATAACAACTTGATTAGCTGGGTCAAAAAATATCCGCCACTAGCTTGAGCACATCGCCAAAATGAACTGTACTCATTTAGACCTGAAGGAATTGAGTTTAATACTTATGACAAAAGTTCGAAAAACGCTCACCTGAATACTTGTATGCAATGAAGTAAGGAGCATAGGCTAGGGCTACACAATTGATGAAATGAAAAAATGTCATTATGACAAAGGAAGGCGAAATTACCTAAATCAGGGAAAAATCAGAAATTGCAGCGTCAGAACGGACGCGTACAGAAACGATCCAAGTCGAAGAGGGAAACAAATATTGCGTCAAATAGAAGTAATGAAGGGACGAAGAGTTGAAAAAAAAGGTGTAAAAGAGGGATGACGCAGTCTTTCAAGGTTCTATATAATCAATGAATACAGTGGTTGCGTGCTGCAATTCCAAACACATTTTACTATGTTTTGGTGAAAATCGCCCCTCCCCACATTCCTAAAATGTCAAAAAGTACGACTCTAGACTTAGGCACAGAGGCTGCGGTACTACCACAATAAAATTAGCATAAACCGCGGCGGTCACAGCCTATTGAATGACGGAAACCTGTATAGATCATGTGCAGTTTCAAATAGTGAGAATCGGCAATCAAAATTTCACGAAGCGTGATACTGGCAGTGCAATTGTTTTCTCTAAACAAAAAAGATGCGTTTTAGGTGAAGAATAGAAACAAGACAAGCTGTCAACAAAGCGGTACGGTACATACA